TATAATATATATCTGTCTATCTATCTACTATCTATATATTTTGTATATATATATCATAATATATATATATATATATATATATATATATATATATATATATATATATATATATATATATATATATATAATATATATATATATATATATATATATATATATATATATATATATTATTATATATATATATATATATATATATATATTATATATATATCATATATACATATATATATATATATATATATATATATATATATATATATATATATATATATATATATTATATATACAATATATATATACATATATATATATATTAATATATATATATATATATATATATATATATATATATATATATATATATATATATATATATATATATATATAATATATATATATATATAATAATATATATATATATATATATATATATGTATATATACATATATATATATATATATATATATATATATAATATATATATATATATATATATATATAATATATATATATATTATATATATAATATATATATATATATATATATTGTCTCACTCACTTTCTACGTCACACCTTTCCTTGGCACATCCCTCATTCAGGGCCGCACAGAAACAGAATGATCGACAGACATGAACCCGGAGGCTGGGACTCTGAGCTGAAAACCTCCGGGGAACATCCTCCTAAGGTGGTTAATTAATCAGACAACTATTCTCAAGTGGGGAAGATTCTAGCATCCATTAACGAGTAAACACTGTGTGGCAATTGTAATGGTGTCGTTGCCAGTTTGGGGTATAACTCACAACCCTGTCATAACGACTCTTAATTAGCGAATAAAGACTATGCGGGTGCGGGAGACACTCGTTTCGAATATAATTAAGATCCAATCACAACCGTTCGCACAGTTTGTGTATGAAGACTAAATGGCATTTGTAATGGTACTCTTTAACAGTCAGGGATATAACTCACGACCCTGAAACAAGCACTCACAATCAGCAAGTACAGATTATTTGGCAAATGTAATGGTGGAGTTACCAGTTTAAGATATAACTTATAACCCGTTAACAATCGTTCACACACAAACGCACACACTCGTTAATGTGTACAGACATTAGTGTCTGAAAACGCACACACGCACCAGATTTGCGCGTCACTTGGTGCGTATATAGAGTAATTTGGAAGAGTATGTGTTCTCTCCTTCCTCTTTACTCGATGATTAATTAACGTGTGTAACATGTTTAATTTATTCATTTCTTATTCTTTCTCCGGTAATTCTGTTTCGTTGTGTCTTTGTCTGTCTACCTGGTTCTGCCTAAAAAAAAAAAAAAAAAAAAAAAAAAAAAAAAAAAAAAAAAAAATATATATATATATATATATATATATATATATATATATTATATATATATATAAACATATATATATACATACACACACACTCATAAACACACACACACACACACACACACACACCACACACACACACACAATATATATATATATATATATATATATATATATATATATATATATATATATTATATATATATATATATATATTCTATACAAAAAACGAATACCCAAAGACCGTCAAAATTTCCCAGACGAGACGAAGCACTCCATCGTTTCCTAGAAAACGATTTCTACGAAAAGGTCTACAGAGACCGGAATGAGAAGAAAAGTTAACAAAACCTGAAGAGGGAAAATGGAAAAAAAAAAGGAGTGAGAGAGAGAGAGAGAGAGAGAGAGAGAGAGAGAGAGAGAGAGAGAGAGAGAGAGAGAGAGAGAGAGAGAGAGAGAGGAGGAGAAGAAGAAGAAGAAGAGAAGAGAAGAGAGAGAGAAAGAAGAGAGAGAGAGAGAAATAAAGATATCAAGAATGAAATAAAAAGAAAAGAGAGAGAAAGAACAGAAGACGGAAGGACGGGAAGGGGGCCGGCTCCCCCAGGGGCACTGTACTCACCGCTCTCCACCTCGCAGACCAGGGCCACGGAGGCGCCGACGGGGTACGGGCCGATGACGCCGCTCACCTCCATGCCCACCTCGCTCTTGATTCGGATGCGCTTCGGGGGCACTGCGGGGGGGGGGGGGTTTAATTATGTATGCACATCGATATATTCGGATGTATTTTTTCAATACATGTATTCATCTGCATGCATCCAAGTATAAATGCAGTCATACTTATATAATGCATACATACATACATACATACATATATTATATATATATATATATATATTATATATATATATATATATATATATATATATAATATATATATATATAAATATATATATATATATATATATATATATATATATATATATATATATATATATATATATAATATATATATATATATATATATATATATATATACTTACATACATATATACACATATACTCATACTGGACAAACACATACAAATACGCATAAATACCCCACACCAGCAAGCAATCACACCTACTGTCCACCCGCCCGCCGCCCACACACACCCTCCCAAGG